TTTTGGATCTTTAAGCTATTGAAGACACTTCCTAAAGGATTGTATGGTTTAAAATATTATAAAATTATTATTTTCTTACTTTTAGACTAATGAAATCCAGGAGGGGAGTGTTTAGTGATATTTTTCCTCTTAACGCCCCTGAAGAAGTATATATTTATGATTTATCAATTCAAATAACTACAAAACATTTTTAGAATTTTACTTGCCTTTTTTATTTAATTTTGCATTATTGGCACTGATTCCTCTTCATTTTTCAGGAGTCTGATGTGGATCAAAGGACCCCCCTGACTGTTGGCTTTTTAGCCCCTGAACCATACAGGGCTCCTCCTGCAAGCTGAATATGTCCTTGTTAGGCTATTTTGTCATGGTCTAATATTCTGTCAGACCTAAAATCTTGAAAACAATAATGATACATCGGCAAAAAATATTCATATATATAAATACCTGTTTTGGGCCAAATACCCCCCTTTCTACGCCCCTGATCAAGAAAAAAAAAATTTGAAATTTTTTTATGCCCCTTATGGATTAAAAGAATATAGGTGCAAAGTTAGCACCATTTATCTCTATTATTACAAGAGTTATTACAAACTCCAGGAGACTAGTGAGGTCCTTTATAATTAATCAGAGCTGAAAACTTTAAAATGGTGGATATTGAGATTAATGCTTTATCCTCTCTTTTTCTTAATATCAAGACTAACCTAATCTTGTAATTGTATCCTGAAAAGTGTAAAAAATTCAAACAATCAGCTTTTAGGTCGTCTTACTATTTCACAGTTTTCTGGTTCTCATTATATGATAAAATATGTATTTTTTAATATTATATTTGAATCGTAGGCTTGATATAACTGGTTTGGAATCCAATATACTCAGCATTATCTCCAGTAAACACCAGGAAAAGGTATATTTAAAAGAAAGCCTTTTAAAGTGTATGTCAATGTGGTAATATACACCACACCTCTGAACTTTGATCCTATCACGCCTCCTGGTTGTATCTCTCCTTTAATCATTTCGTAGTCCGGGGGCTTTTGTGTGCTCAAAAAGGGACATTCATAACTTAAGGATTAAAGAAAATTCTGATTTTTAATTTATTTGGCTCTGGCAATAATATTTGTTAAATTTATGTTTTCTAGTATTATTTCAAGGACTAAAAACTGATCAAATTCTTAACTTCTAGCTTTTATCTGATCAATAATGTGGAAGATATCGCCGTTTTTCTAGATTGAAAAAGTATTTAGTTTTCTTTACTTTCCCTTTCATTTCTCTACAACGAAATCCGCAAATTACTTTCACACAGGAACCACAAATGAAAATAATATGTTTAACAAAGAAATTATGGATATCTCATTAATTCTTGATGAGCTAAAGGTTTTAAGGGTATTTTTGTGAATCGGACCATTCCATTCTGTAAATGGTTACTTGAAATGAAGTCTCTTAAATATTTTTTTTTTTAGGAAAATCAGCGAATTCTTGAAGACATCAGACAAGAGGTCTCTAAGCCTGTATCAAAGGTCAGGGAGTGGAGATCATGAACCTAAATTATAGATAAAGAAGGTCATGAACCTAAATTATTGATGAAGAAGGTCATGAACCTCTGTGAAATATAGATAAAGATTTATTTATAAATTGACCTCTAAGCCAATTATGAAGATCTCTACAAAGTAAATTAATGTCAGTAATGAACTGTTAACTGCCGAAACATAAAAAAAACACTTATTGTTTTTGTTAAAGAGTGATTATAATTTAGTTTTTTATGAATTTTAAAAAATTTATGTGACTTAACTTTGCTAGACTTTTTTATTGTAAATACAAGATATACTCTAATCAATACTTAATTTATATTTTATAGTTGATTATAACAGATGAAGAGTTTTGATTTGCATATTAATTTAAATAATGACACCTTATATATATCTTACTAGCTGAAGTTCCCGGCCTTTCTCGTAAAATTTTAAAAACATGCAGAAAAGATTAATCAAATTTTGAAGTGGCAATAAATCAAATATTGATGAAAAAAAATCGAATTTTTAGACCTTGTTAACCCCTTGGTAACCCTGGGTTCTCTCAAAATAAATTAGCAAAGAGCTTTATTATATGATGTTAATCATGGTATATTTAAGTTTTAATTTTATTGTTTTCATTTTAATTGTTAAAAATTCAATCGAAAATTCATCAATTAATGAGCGCAGAAAAATTTGCTATATGTTTACAATGATATACTGTTTTAATATGAACGGAGAATTGGATTCTCCCAAGTCAATGTCGTCTTTTGACGTACTTTGTAACTGTATTTAACCGCTATGTATATAGGTGTCGAAACAAAACCAAACTTTTTTTTGCTAGTTAAAATTCTAACTGCATTGTAATTTCTTCCCTCTTTCTGGTTTGCTTGGACAACACTTTTTTATTCTTCTCTCCTTTCACACTATTTTACTCCATTTTTATTTCTCTTCCCAGTTTGGTCAAATGCGATATCTGTGCCGCCCCCCCCCCCCCACCCCCTTCGAAGGGGGTTAGTAAAGATATTTACACCCCTGTAGGGTCGCTGCAAAACTGTTAAATGAACTAATCATTAAAAAACTACAATTATTTATTTTATTAAATGATTAACTCTTTTTTCATGTAATTGATAAATCCTGAAGCATGTATTACTGTAGAGAATTATTAACTTAATTATAAATCAGTTGACTATGAAGTCTCAATCTGGAATAATGTTCCTGGCTGTCTTAATTGTCTTCATAACACAAGGAAGAAGAAAATTCAACCTCAAACCTTCTTTTACTTTTAGAATACAGTGAGAATTAGAAAACTGCGGAATAGAAAGACGACATTAAAGCAATACTTAATTCGGCGTTATTACGAAGGAAATAGTTTTTTACTGTAACTTATTTTTTCACGTTTTAAGTGAAGAGTCTGTTTGCACTGCCCAATTCCCATGTCCATGTGCTCAATGTCAAAATTTTAGTTTAAAAGTCGTCTTCCTATTTCAAAGTTTTCTTGTTCTGAAGAAATTTTTTTATAGATCTGTTCATTTGAGATCTTAAATAAAAATATCACTTACACTTTTGAAGTTAAAATATCTAAAAAAAAAAAATGTTATCCCTTAAAAAGCTTTCTGAAAAACAAATTTTAAAAAGATAAATGGTCTGTAGACGTAATTGCAATAGAATCCTTACTTAACTCAGAAATGTACACGCTTTTGTTTGAAAATTGATTAATGATTATTTTGTGGAAGGAAGTAAATCAAGAGAATATAACATTACATGATGGAAAAAGAGAATATTGCTCTCAATCATAAATTTCGTGTCGAATATGCCAGTTACGCCTGTAGTTCCTTTAATATACTCTCAATTTTTGTTATGAAGCTGTGTACATTTTTGTCAGGGTAATCTGAACTCCGATAGAAAGTCTTAAACATTGGATATTAAGATCAAGCATTGGTCTCAATCTTTTAATAATCAACAGATTATTTTCGTCTTCATTTCAATCCCGTAACGTTTAGAAATCTAAGAGCCAAACATGCCAAGGAATTTTGCGGTCAACCAATGAGAGGACAGAAAAATTGCGGATATCTAAAATAAAAAGTGCACACTTTGGATATCGAGATCATGTGATCAATATTTTTGGTATTTCAATTGAATTTGAATTTTTGATGTAAGGAGAGTGTAAAAGTTTCCTTATTGAAACCATTGATGGTCCTGAGACACCTGTACCATATATACCATATGGTGTAGATCGTGAAGATAAACCCGATGCATATGTACCAAGTACAGTTGCATATGTACCAAGTAAAGATGCATATGTACCAAGTACAGTTGCATATGTACCAAATGCAGAGGTTTCAACCCAAGCTCCAAAAGGTAATATTGCTGCAATGTATAAGTATAACCCACAAAGGATAAGACCATAGAGAATAGAATATATATTAGAGGGGAATTTAAAGAATCTCTCGGTATTAATTTTTTCAGTCCCTTTAAGCCTAAAAGGGAGTTCAAAGTGTACAAATCATGCAAATGTTCACAAATTATTTGCAGTAGAGTACATTAATACAGTATGTTCCCTGGCCTAGACTATTCATTTCAATTTCGAATTTTTTAAGCTATTAAATAAACTTTATAATGAATTAGGTCAATAAAAAACATCACTTGATTTTTAGTTATAACGGAAAATCATGTCGTTTGTAAAGTGGAGTCTGTGTGAAATGATCATTGGTCAATTATGAAACCAGCCTATTTCATAATCATAATTTGGTTTTCTTTTAACAATAATTTTAGATTTTCTATAAAATGATATTCCAGGGGCCAAAGGTTATATAGCATAAATATGTGAAGTACACCTGCAGTATGGAAACAGTACAACAAAATGGCCGTTTTACGCTTTTTCTAGTAAATTCCCCTCTAATATATATTTTATTCTCTTTGGATAAGACTTCAGAGACGACTGCATGTAATTTATATTGTATTATTCTTATATTCATGATTCCATGCAACTCTTAACTTTCTTTTTTTGCCGAGGCACTTAGTTGGCTATTAAAAGACTAGACTCGAGGCAGGAATATTTAATTTAACCTTGGGATTAGAGTTAAGATAAGATAAGAAAAGATAAAGTTTATTGCTAAAATAAATGTATCTGTATACAGATGGAGTTTACAATCACAAAATTGATGATTATTATTATAAAGATTTATTCACACACAAAGATATAAATACATAAAATACATATATAAATGGTGTAGTTAAAATTTGTTTAAATAAATTTTTTTTGAAAATACAGGTTTCCAAAAGAAAAGAGAAAAAATATGCAAAATTATGCACAAATAGAAAACATTGATTTTTACTCACTACATTACATATTTATCATTTCAGTTATTACGTAATCATCGAATCCTTCAACATATAAATTATTCATTCTTGTATTTAAAAGTTCTTGTAAAACCGGAACTTTCCATGCATGGTCCAATGGGACATCAAAATATTTCATTTGTTTCTTAACTAACATTTTACTAGGATCGGAAGGATTTACAGAACAATCATTTGCAATACAAAATAAATTTCTGCCAAGAACTGTGTTGAGGTCATTTTTACATAAATTAGAAAGAAATCTAATGCAAAGCTTAGAACTTGCTTCAATAGTCTCAAAGAAAGACACACATCTGCTAGCTAACATAGTTTTTACATGTAAACATTGTGAAATACTAGGTACATTAAAAAGAATTCTAATAGCAGTATTCCATGCTGTATACAATTTTGAAACACATTGGGAACTCAAGTCCCAAATACTAGATCCATAAAAACTACAACAGTAAATATTATACAGTTTCAAAATAACATCAGGACTGTTAAAATAAAATTCTTGGTTAAGGGAATGAATTTTTGAAATGAAAATAGCTCGTTTTTTATTGCAATCTATGGTCATTGAATTATCACTTTGCAGAACATTTCCTAAATGTTTTAAGTCGTTAACAAATGGTAAAGGTAATTCATTCAATAAAATTGGGGTTATTTCATTATAATTAATCCTTTCTTTAGAAAAAATAAGGCATTTAGTTTTACATTTTTCGATTCGAATATTTGTACTAAATTTCAGCTTAGTAGCTTTGGCAAAATTTTCACAAATTTTCACCATTTCCTAAAGACCTGTTCTGCTAGGAGAAAGCAGGATAATATCATCTGCATATATCCAGATGCCCATATAGACACCCTGGATTTGGCATCCAATAGTTGAACATCGTAATAACTTGATAATTTTGTCAATGTAAATACAGAATAGCACAGGGGAAGAAACTGCTCCTTGTCTGACTCCATTTTGTACATTGAAGGTATTTGAGAACGCATTACCCCATCTAACATTACATTTTTGATTTAAGTAAATGAACATTAAACACCTTAATGCTAGAGGTGAAACACCCCTCTCCAATAACTCTGTGAAGAGCACTTCCCATGACACAAGATCAAATGCCTTACTCAGATCCATTGCACAAGCATAAACTGCTCTACCAGCTATATATATATTAACAGTACAAGTATAAAGCAATTAGGTGGAAAATAGCTCATGGCTGTTTTGATTATTTTTTCCACCTAATGTTAGTAATAATAACAAAATATTTCAATTAAATAGATTTAAGGAGAACGATTAGAGATCAGGGTGCGAATTTATCATATGCAAAATAGTTTATACATAAATTCGAATAACTAGAGTTTAAAGTAATTTTCATACATGTACACAACAAATATCAAATCATATTAAAACATATCTAATTAGTTTTACATGAATAGAGTTATACAATATCATCCTTTGTGGATAATCCTGTACATAAGCTTTAGATAGGGTTCATCCATATTAATTGTACACTGTACACTGTACAGTAGGGAAATCATTCTCTTCAAAATAGATAAACCAAATACAGGGTTACCTACAAAGAATGAGACTTTAAAGACGTCGTTAAACTCTTGAAATATGAGCAATTCACGATGAAATTCAGTCGTCTACCTTGAACATAGTCGACACAAAAATCGAGACTCATTTCCAGCCATTCAGCACATACTTTCGCCACCTCGTTATGAAAAATACATTAGTTACCCATGGATTATTTTTTGTTTATGTATTATTTGTTTTAAAGACTGTACTATGGGATTCACGTTGTAAACCACAATCCTGCAAATAATACATCTCCTGTCACATTGATATGTCAACTTGACATGTTATTGTGCAATAAATATATTACTTACTTACTAACTAACTTACTTAGTCTTCTAATTGTGCAATCTTACTTACTTACTTACTTCAATAAGTTTACAATTACAGGGAATCATTAATATAAGGAAACGGTCAGTATAAATTCTGTTCCGTCGTTTCTGAAGTCTCATCCTTTGTATTGTGGGTAACCCTGTAAAATAAAATATTAAATTCACAGCATCTACTAGAGGTCAAAGTGATTAAATATTTATTCACTTTGACTAGAGGTCAAAGTGAATAAATATTTATTCACTTTGACTAGATGTTACTCTTTTTTAGCGTTTCATAGACACAGATAGATAGTAACATTCTACATGGTGATTTCTATACTTACAGGTCTAAAACATAAAATACAGTTTAAAAATATTTAATGGGTTCAATATTTTTGTTTAATTCAAATTTTTACTGTAGTGAGTGAAGATGATTATTTCTTTAAACAATATTGATCGAATACTGTAGAGGATGGAAATCCCCGAAAGAGGATTATAAAATCCGCAAATCAGTAGAAACAGATAAGACCTACTCATCTTCCTCTCCTTTAAGGCACTTTGTATTCATAATGTATTTCTATCTGAAAGCAATAAATAATCTTCTAAAATATATAATTATGAAATACGTGTCAATGAATTTTAGAGAATATTAAAATAAAGTTGGAAATCAACCTTTTTGGATTACACTGTAAAAAGTCGATATCTTTAATAGAAAATTCTTCATAGTATAACAACAAGCAAATGATTTCAATTTTTATTAAATAGATACTAGGCTATCAGGGCGCTTCGCGGATTTTCGTGGATTTTCAAAATTTTTCGAAAATAAAAAAAGTATTTTGACAACATTTTGTAATTCTGAGCATTCATAAACCTTCCCTTGGGTCATGTGAGGTCTCGCACAAAATTTGGGTAAGACCGATTCAGCCGTTTTGACGTTTATTGGATACAAACACCAAAACAGAGATTTCAACTTTATAAATACAAAGATATTTTCATGTTTTTTTGTACTGAAGAAAATTTCTAGAAATATTCTTTGAGGGGTTGATCGGAGATTGAAAACTGTTAGAATGTCGTCTTTCTCAAAATACTAAATGTCGTCTTTCCTAAGACGAAATCCTCGAAAAATCGATAGAACAGCGAAGTATCGATCTCCGGCCAGTGTACTGAGAGATACAGTGAGATGTAGAGACTCCTTCCAAAATATATTGTTAATAAACATGGGAAATATTCACACCGTTGGCCCTAACCAGGCCCTTATAGTCTCAGGTATACAACAATATATTTTAGAAATGTTTTGTCAAACCAAATTTTTCAAAATGATTTTTTGAAAGGTGTAGAACCGCAACTGGATTGTTGTTTACAATATATCTATAAACATTAATTATTTTTGACATTGCTAGGCAATCAAAAATGAAAGAAAAACAACAATAATACAGTGAAACCCTTAATAACGAATACATCGGAAGAATTTATCAAACGTCGTCTTGACAATTTTTCAATGAGTTTTAAACTATATTTGGTAAATTTCCGAAATAAATAAATAGCCATAAATATGCGGGAACAGTTTTAAATAGTTTCATATAATCATTTAATTAAAAAATTAAATATCTGCAACATTCCATTATCAGAAAGTGAAGAATACGACATTTGATGAATTCTTTCGATGTATTCCTTAATAAGGGTTTCACTGTACTAAAAAGGTCAAGGATTAATGAAAATCGAAGAAACATGATAAACAAAACTTATCAATAGTAATAGTGATAATTTTAAATTTTATTTAATCATTTTGAAGAGAAAAACGATATTTTACCAAATAAGACACTTTTCTCCCCTTCATGAAACAATTTTCATTGATTTATCTCAATCAACAGTTTGGTAAACCCCCCCACCTTCTTTAACATATATTGATTAGTAAAATAAATTATAATAATATTTTAAAATACATAATCAATAAAACAAGGGTAGATAACATCATAACGGACACTTGATTCTTTTTTCCTACAGCAAGACCCATCACAAAATGTAATACTATAGATGACATTAGGCAATCTAACGTATAGTAAATACTTGGGAAATTATTAACTTATATATTAAGTGAAATGGGTGTGTGGTACACTGCACTAACGATGTGTTTCATGTATTTCGTCTTCCTCCACAGTTTTAGTGGTCTCATTGTACATAAGATTAATATTACTAATAAACTATAAACTATAAACAATATGTAAAATTCAGGGGCGGACTTAACCAATATCTCAGGTAAAGCCCATATTGCACCCAACTTGAAAAAAATACGTCCCCACAGGATTTTTTTTTGGAAACCTTGCACTCAGATATACCCCCAGGCCCTAAGTCTTGAAGCAAACTCAAATTCTACTAGAACATTTTGCAATATACTAGGCTTTTAGGGCGTTTCGCGCCCATCTTCTATTTAAATTGTGAACATGTTCTTTTTGTTTACATTTTAAAACAAAGAAGAAAACAATTTTTAATTTGTTTACAAAATCAAAAACTTTTAAAACACATTTTTTTAAATATTCTTTATTCATAAACCTTCCCTGTGGTAACGTGATGTCACACACAAAAATTGGGCCTGATCGGTTCAGCCGTTTTGACGTTTATTGGATACAAACAAACAAACAGACACCCAGACACCCAAGCCAAATTTTTCAATATATAGGCTTTTAGGGCGCTTCGCGCCCATCTTCTATTTCAACTTTTAACTGTGGCTTTATCTCTGAACATCTTCTCTTTGTGCAGTATAAAACAAAAACAAAAAAGTTTGCGGATTTCATTATTATTTTTGCGCATTTTCAAAATTTTTCAAAAATAAAAAACTTTTAAACACAAATTTTAAAATTTTGATCATTCATAAACCTTCCCTGGGGTCACGTGATGTGAGGTCCCACAAAAAATTTGGGCCCCGATCGGTTCAGCCGTTTTGACGTTTATTGGTTACACCAAACAGACAAACAAACAGACAAGCCAAATTTATATATAGATAAGCTCAGATTTTTTTTATTTTTGTTCCCCTATTTTTTTAAAATAACTTATTGGATTTTTAAAAATCAAAATCACACATTCTATTAAAATTGGTCACCAGATTTGAATTAAAATCACACATTCTATCAAAATTGGTCACCAGATTTGAATTTGTCCCAAACTGTAAATTTATTTCCCCACTCTGAAAAAATTGCCCCCAAAATAATATTTGTCCCCAAAATATAGATTTAATATTTTTCCCGCACAAATTTTCCCCAAACTGAAAATATGCCCCTTAATATAAAATTTGCCACTGAAATATCCTGAAAGATTAGTTTTTTTTTATGGTTGAGTATAATACACATTTTTCTTGCCCCCTAGCAATGTTTGGGGGGGGGGGATGTTAGTAAAAAAAATTAGATGAGAAAACAATTTTAACGGTTACTTTAGGTCATTTATTCAATTCTATTATCGTTGTATCTCTCATCCCTTGATGCTTTTATTAAATATCATGAATTTCCTTACGGGGGGGGGGCGTAGGCCCAGGCCCAGGCCCCCCTAAGCCGCCCCTGATCAAATTTCGCGACTTATTTTCTATTTAATGGTGGATTTCCAAAAATTTGGACTGATGAAAATTTTGTTGTAGACAAAAGTTGTATTACTATAGTTTCTTTTCTCCTATAGCAATACTAGTGCACAATTACACTATATAAACCCTTGACAATATCTTCTCTAATTAATCGCTTATGTAAACATCTACTCTGTTCTCATTTCATAATAGTGTTATGTTCTTGCAATATACTTTATCTAAAGCTCTTGGCTCGAATATTGCTATATGCTGGCCATTAACGGCTGGACCATGCTGGCCATTAACGGCTGAACCGAATAATAGCTATATGCTGGCCATTAACGGCTGGACCGAATAATAGCTATATATGCTGGCCATTAACGGCTGGACCGAATAATAGCTATATATGCTGACCATTACCGGCTGAACCGAATAATAGCTATATATGCTGGCCATTAACGGCTGGACCGAATAATAGCTATATGCAGGCCATTAACGGCTGGACCGAATAATAGCTATATATGCTGACCATTAACGGCTGGACCGAATAATAGCTATATGCAGGCCATTAACGGCTGGACCGAATAATAGCTATATATGCTGGCCATTAACGGCTGGACCGAATTGTTGGAATGTTTTTGAAAGGAACTTATGATGTGTGTATCGAGGGGGTAACCTTAAAAAAACATTTTTTTCAGAATTTGAAATTTTTCTTATTCCACGGGCAACGCCGGGCACTATCAATCCATGTTTGTATATCTATCTGTCTATCAGAATCAGTCAATCGTAGATATATCTATGCTGTCAATCTACATGATCTATACATATGCTAAGCTTCCATTGAGTGTGTAACTCTATTAAATAGAGACTATAAGAGTTAAGCCATTCTTACATTATATGTAATACATATTTATAATATTATTTTAAGTGTCTGTGTAAAGTTTTCTTAATTTCCCAGATTTTGCCCAGATGTGCTAATTCATGTAACAGCCTAGAAATTATAAAAACCGGTTTTACAGGCCCCATCCGCCCTCTGCGTATAGTCTGGATATACCTCACTTTATGTCTCACAACTTACATATTTACATAAACAAATATTGATCTAATAACGTTTTAGAAAATGTTTGATTAAAGTAAAGTCACCCATTTTATGAATGAGATTTAACATCCAAAATTCCAAATGTTTCGAGGAGCATATCGTTACATCGTAATATCGTTTAGTTAGTTTGGTTTAGTTAGGTTGTAAAGTGTACAGTGTTTACGCATACGTTTGTAAATATTATTATTGTAAACATTTTTCAAGTGACAAAATATTTTGTGAACCTTTTACTTTCTCATAATTTTTAATGTTTAAAACATATTTTTCCAAAAAGTAACAAGTTTATATTTATTTTTCAAAATTATGGGTTAGTTAGTATATTTCTTTTTATAATTCAAAGATACTTCAAGTAATCTCCCAATTAAACAGTGTAACGTTAATCTTTTCATTTTCACCAACATTGTTTAGATCAACAGAAAAGAAGATATCGTCGTTTTTAATCAGTAAAGATGTCGAATTTCTTTTATTTCAAAATTTAATAGAAATTTAATAGAGAATTACATAGTCAATAGAAATTAATGTTTAGAGGAGAACAATGTTTTTGGTACTCAGCCAAAGGTTTAAAAGGTACTATTGTGAATCGGACATACCTGCACTCTTTGAGTATTGTAAATGTCAATATAATCAAAAATAAAAAGTCCTAATTTTTGGCCCATGAAAAAGGGGGGTCTGTCCTAGTATACGATTTTTGGACCCCCCCCCCCTCCTATCAATTTTGTACATGACCTTTATTTTTTTGTTATAATATATATATATATATATACTAGTGCTTCAGAGGTTACTCACTAAACAGTCAGTATTATTGCAACTTTGTTGCTATTCAGATAAATTTAAGTAATTTACACGTTAAATTTGAATCTTACAAGTTTCAATTATAACTCATCTTTTTGAAGAGCTATAATGTAAAAGAACAAAATTATTTTGAGTTTATTGTATGTAACCAAAAAAATGCTTCTCTCATGACTTATGCGTAAAATCAAAACTAAGAGGTCACAAAGTTGTACCAGTAAAATGTCGCTTAAATTCAACCTTTGGTTATAAAATCGTGATAATAAATATCTTATTTTGAATTCTTTAACAGAGAAATCTTTGGTTTAATTATACTTGCTTTGAGAGACATTTAACACTTTTTTTTCAAAATTCTGCCTTATAAAATTAAATAAAACTAATGATATTTGTTTTGAAGGAAAGGGCGTATTGTTTTAATGCTATAGAATCATGATTAACGATTATTGGTTATTTTTTTTATTTTGCTAATTAACTGGACTTAAAAAGTGTTTATTTTATTTAGCATAAATAAAGTCACTTGCAAAGAGAATTCACAAATAAAGATAATTAAATTCCAGCCAAAAAATTAAGGATATCTTACTCACGCTTGATCAGGAGCTTGAGCTATCTATCGGACAAGTATATATATATAATATACATTTTTTTCAGAATTT